CATGACTCCGAATCGTGTCAAAGAACGACTTGCAACGGTCTGACAATTTTGAAATGAATCGACTTAATGCAGCTATTTGTCCTGTGAGGGCTTGCACCTCTCTGATCGTCTTTGGCTCGGCATTCTTAATCAAAGCCTCTGCTTGAGCGGGGCTAACTTTGATGCCTCTGCTGTTGACCACGTGCCCCAAAAACTGACCGGAACTCACACCGAACGAGCACTTGGTTGGATTGAGCCTCATACCGTATCGCCTCAGCACATCAAATATATCTTGCAGATGTTTCAGATGATCATTCTTCTTCCTACTCTTTACCACCATATCATCAATATAGGCTTCCACAATCTTTCCTATTTGATCCTTGAAAATTTTGCTAACAAGTCTTTGATAAGTTGCTCCCGCGTTTTTTAGTCCGAAAGGCATAACTTTGTAGTAGTATGTCCCTCGCTCGGTTACAAAAGAAGTTTTTTCTTCATCTGCCGGGTCCATAGGGATTTGATTATAACCTGAATAAGCGTCCAGAAAGGTTAAGCATTCATACCCGGTGGTAGCATCCACCATTTGATCAATCTTTGGCAGCAGGAAGCTATCATTCGGACAGGCTTTGTTCAAATTGGTGAAATCAATGCATACTCGCCATTTCCCATTCTTCTTCTGCACGACAGCGACGTTGGACAACCAATCCGGGTAGTGTACTTCTCTGATAAATCCCGCATCAAGCAGCCTATCAACTTCCTCGGCTATGATTTGGTTGCGTTCTGGAGCAAATCTTCGTTGCTTCTGTTTTACTGGTTTGAAATTGGGATTGACATTCAAAGAATGACAGGACACGGAGGGATTAATTCCAGGCATGTCTAGGTGACTCCATGCAAATACATCGGCATTGTGAGACAAGAAGTCAACTAGCTCTTGCCGCTCTTCCATGGTCAGTCTTATTCCTATTCTGGTAGTTCGTTCTGGCCTGGACTGATCGATCTGCACATCCAGAAGGGGCTCCTCGGTCAAGTCAACTGACCCCTCCACCCTGTTCTGCTTGGGCGGAGGTTCCTGTAATTGCTATCTGGGGCTTGCCGGTCGGACGGGCGCCTTCCCTTTCCCAGCATACTTTAGTGTGACGGAATAGTACTCTTTGGCTGCAACCTGATCCCCACGAATATCTATTACCTTATTTCCATCAGGTCCGAGGCACCTCATGACCTGATGCAAAGTTGATGGTACTCCTTGGACTCTGTGAATCCATCATCTTCCCATCAGGAGATTGTACGAGGGGTGAATCTCTACAACCACAAAAGTTTCCATAAGAGTTCGTTCTGCAGCTTGAACTTCTACTTCCACCATTCCGACGGGCTCCACCCTCTTGCCATCGAACCCTAACAAGGGATTTCCAGTGGGCTTGAGCCTCTCTGGTTTAATCTCGAGCCGATCAAATGTGTCCCTCGGCATGACATTCGCACTGCTCCCGGGATCGATCAGAACTCTGCGCACCAAGCAGTCTGCCACTGTTAAACTGACTACCAACGGATCTTCATGGGGGACTTGAACACGCTGCAGGTCTGTCCTGTCGAACTTTATCTGTATGGATGCGATCTGCTGGTGTAGAGTATTCACACTGCTGACCCTTTTCTTCATCTGCGCCTGCCGTAGGCGCGCTCGGAGCAGCTCATCTGAATCTTCGCTGGGCTCGGGTCGACTGTGGATAGCATTGATTATGCGAACTAGTTGTGAATTGTGGGAGCTTTGTTTATGGCTCCTTTTTACTTGTTCCATCGGTCGATTCTGCTCTGTTGCCGAGCCTTGAACATAACTCGCGAACTCCCCTCTAGCTATCAACATCTCAACTTGCCTTCTCAAATTCCTGCATTCATTAGTCTGATGACCGAAATCGGAATGGAAAGCACAATGTTTAGTCTGATCCCTCTGTTCGAGGGGTTGCCTAATTGGCAGTGGTGGATGAAACTTATCTTTGTTCTCCTGATACAGCCTCGCCAGGGTGACCTTCAGCGGAGTGATCAGTTCTTCCTCCCTGGACCTCTTTTCTGCCTTCCAGGAGGTCTGACGCTGCGGCTGAGCCTGCTTCTGCCTGATCTTTGCCTTGGACTTCTCCTCGGTCGACACGAGCGACGCTGTCCGAGCATTGGCTGCCTCCTCTTCTTCTAGGCGCACAAAGCCGTCGGCTCTTTCATTGAGTTCATCCATAGTTGTCGGCGTGTTCACTACCAGACTGGTATGGAACGGAGTGCCACGTGTCATGGCTAACTTGAAGGCTTGAACCGCTGTAGAAGGGTGGCATTCGATCACCATACTTTTAGTGAGATTAAACCTGGTGAGAAAAGCCTGGAGACGTTCATCTTTGTGCTGTCTCATTATGAATAGGCTTGAGATGTCCTTTGGCGGACGCTTGTTCCCATAGTACTGACTTATGAACCGATCGCACAGATCTCGGAAGCTACCAATGGAGCTCTTAGGCAAGTTCTTGAACCAGCTGAGCGCCGGTCCAGCTAGGCTTGTAGGGAAACATTTGCACATTAAAGCATCGTTTTCCGTATTCAGGGCCATCTTCAACTGGATATGGTACACATGATCGATCGGATCGGTTGTTCCGTCAAACAGAATAAATGCTGGCATAGCAAACTTCCTTGGATGAGGGGCATTCAGGATCTCGTCAGTGAAGGGTGAATCAACCGTTTGAGCTGCGGATCGGAGCGCTTCATTCTCTCTTTGGCGCCCAGTGATAGCTCTGTGGGCTACGGTTCTGCTCTCCGAACCGCGATGAGTGACTGTAGCCATGGAAGGCCGGTAGGACGGATCGAACGACCGTTCCTCTAAGAGTTCTCTTTGCCAAGGCGACGCAACTTGGCGGCGATCAACCTCCATCACCTCCTCTCGGTTGAACCTTTCCCGATGTGGATCCAAGGTTATGGCTTCATTCTGTCTGATCTGCTCATGTCGCGGATCAACGTGAGTCGATCCTTCGTGATCCTCAACTCGACGAGCATTTGGCGGTAAATCACGGTGGAGAGCCGACTGACTGTTCTCGTCCTGCTCGCCTTGATGCGCGATATTAGATTGAACACCTCCTTCTCCGGCCGGAGGTGGACGCGAAACCGCGGGCATTTGCTGATGTTGCATTCCAGCTTTCAATTCTGCATTCTCTTTTTTGAGAGCTTCGATCAAGTTCATCAACTCCTCAAGCTTTGTTTGCTGGACCGCCTCCATCGGATTGGAGCTTTCACCTATCATTATTCTTGAACGGAGTAAAGGCATTAATCTCAAGTTCGCGAGTAGATCCGAGCTTCGTGAGTGGGAATTTTTCAGATCTGGTTTCGAATTCTCCGAATTATGCTCACAGTTGACGAGATCTGAATTGTTCGAATTCTAAATCCGTCAGATCCTGCCACAATCGAACAACTCGTTGTTACGTAGATCTGAAGCCACTTCTGCCAAAGCTTCAGGAACTGAAATTCCTCCAGAGTAGGTCACAATCGCTCAGATCTGGATCCAACTCCCAAAGATCGAGTCTCGATCAACCGAATTGGTCTGAATCCACGCGATATTCCTCATTGATCAACCAAACTTCCATGCGTGTTCCCACAGACGGCGCCAATTGAAGATACAAGAAATTCCTTCCCCCTTTCTCTCTCTAGAATTCTTATATCTCCCAGTTGAGGAGGCCCGATAGGACATGGGCCGGATATGACTTGCAAACGCGACATTTAGTCCATACAGGTGGGTCAGGCCCATAGAAAGGCACTGCCATATGGGCCGAACGCGCATAAGCCCATCAAAGAGGACCGGGACTCATGGAGGAACGGGTCTAGATCCAACAGTCCATCGACATTTGTAAATCTCTATAAATAGGAGAAGTAAGGTAAAGAAAAAGAGAGATCTTTTTGGTGGAGATATAGGAATTCTAGAGAGAGAAAGGGGGAAGGAATTTCTTGTATCTTCAAACACATGTCGAAAAAGAAATTAAAAATTAAAGATGTGCATTACACATTTTTTAAGGGTTAAACTGGGTTTTTTTTTTTTTTTTTTTTAATCAAGAGTTTACCTCTCTTTCCCTCAACAAAGGAAATTTATCTCTTTCTCTCTCATCACAAACATAATTACACAAATATTTTAATTAGTTATTAAGCAATTGTTTAGGCATTACAAAGTAAATTTGGGCCTTATTCCTTACAAAATTAGAAATAGAACTTGATTAAATCCGAAGTATCATCCCCTCAATAAGTAACCATTTATCTTTTTTAACTAATATGGAAACTTTTTTTAGAAGTTAAAGCAAATACGCACACACCAACCTTCCCTTTGGAAAAAAAAGGGTGATACCGTTAAACCATTTATAGTTTGTTATTTTCATTGAATAAATCATATATCATAACAGAAAACTTGCAATAAAAATAAAAAAATATAAAAAAAGATTGGTTATACAACAATATTAGGACTAAAAAATTATTTGTTTAAAAAATTATCTGTTAAATGATCGTGACTTAAAAAAAAAAAAAGTGTTAAGAAGAAGAATAAAAAAAGAAGGAAAAAAAAAAAATGGTTTAACATATAAGAAATGGGTAATGTCCATCATTGAACTTTTTTATTTTTTAAACATGCATTCTAATTACATTGAATCACGTCAGCTGGAGGATGATGAACTTCATCCTCCCAAGGGAAGAGGACCCAAACATTGTCCTTCAATGTGCCCAGTGCACCGGGCCATCACAACCATCCCTATCTGCATTGCTTGTGCTTGTTGCGAGCACTGGGTTATCACAACCATCCCTATCCGCGTATGTTGTATACACATGAGCAGGTGCAAAAATGCCAACGGTATGAATACCAAATAATCAATCATTAATCACAATAAACAATAGTCTATATAATAGCATTAAAATTTCAAGCTCAACACAATTAAATACCCCGTCCAAAACAGAATCACAATCCGAAGCGGTGGAAGATCCAAAAACGAATTCTACATCCATAGAGAATAGCCCAAAATGAAACCCTGCTATAACGGCCGTAGCCCAACTGTAAAAATGGCGGTGTCGATCTGTGTCTTCTGTTCCTTAGAGTCAAACACATTTAAAATGCAAAGCTGACCAGCTATTGTCACCAAAACTGCATTGCCATTCATTAATCATCATCGTCCTTCACCAAATTAGATAATATATTAATTTGACTATCAAAATCAGCCTCTCTTCATATAATTAGGAGAAACTCTCCACTGCAGACATGTTTGTAATGTTAGCTTCGAGAATCAAAGTGTCATTCACAAGGAAGCCCTTCGACTCATCTGTTACATCCCGCAGTGACAAGAAGCCAGAGCAACCCCAAGACTTCTGTGCAGTAGAAAACCAGCTTTTTCCTGTGAAAAGTATTGTACAATGTTGAACTTAAAAAACTTGTATAATTAGTATACAAGCAAAGCTAGTCAAAATAGCAAACAAACAAAAGAAATCACATGTGGTGTGAGATTATTTCTCATATGAAAATACTTTTAGGCTAGAATCAAACACGCACAAGGAACAAAAGTGACTGGAAATGTAAGCTCACCTTTAAACTCGAAATGTTTTCCATGGCATTGGTCCCTTATGCGCAAACTGTATTGTACATAAATTTTTTGGACAGTTTTCAAATCATGTAACGCAAGATAGAGTGACACCTTCTTGTCGTTTTGCCTACTATCCCCCTTTGGGTAGAGCAATAGCTTCCTGAATTGAATTTAGTGAATAACAATTCAAACAGTAATTGCTGCAATTTAGAAGACAAGTAATTGTATTACTGCATACCATTGGCGATTCCCAAAAGTGAATTCTTTAGAGTAACGAACGTGATGAGTGAGAGAAGAAAATTTATCAACTGTCCAAGAAAAAGGACCCTGACACACATTCTGTAGGGATACATGTTCCCCTCTGCCAGAATAATTTATAACAAAAACCTCTGCTCCGAAGATGCATGTGTCACGGGTCAGGTATCCATTAGCAGCGTCATTGAAAACGCTTAAAGGTAGTAATTGGGCGAAACCCCACTCTGTCTTCATCCTATGAAAGCGTCTTACCTTTCCATCCACATCTAAGCATTGCCATAGAAGAACATCAAGTTTGCATACAGAGAAGGGAATAATTAAGAAATTGTTGTAGTATTTACAGAAACAAACTATACATGTACCTTGGATGGTCATGTACTTGTCTCTAATCTGATCAAAAACAAACAATTTGAAGTTCACATTAACCTCCCAACCAATAGGCAAAGCATTTGTCTCTGCAATTACCAAGTACACAGAGATATGTCCTTCCCCATTTCTTTCTTTATCACCGTATGGGTAGAGAGACAATTTCCTTCAAAAAATAACCTAATCTTCAGCTTATGCACACACACACACACACATATATAAAATATATGTGTTTGTGTTTAAATAGAATACCAAAGGAAAATTTGAAAATACTAGAATGTAAACTCAACCATTTGTTGCCGCTAGCTTCAAAAGTGTTTGATTCATAATTCTCTTCTCCAGTGTCTAATAGTATCTGCGAGAGTTGTGAGAATGCCTTGATCTTAAATGTGTAGTGAGCTGGTGGTATATCTCTTATTGATCTTGATACTTCTACAGAAAATAATGATAATAATATAGAAGAAGAAATCAATAAATTTCTATATAGAAGTCATATTTTGCCATGACAGTATTAATAATTGCAAAATGGCAGTTTGAATAAAAAATAAAAAATAAAAAATAAAAAATAAATAAAATTCCAATTTTATACATATATAAAGAAATTCAAAATATATAGAGCACCATGACAATTGACAAAACAGAATAATACATCTTCCAAATTGAGTTGAGTTATATAAGTATATATACCAAATGATACATATGTGAGACTTACAGATCGTAATAAACAAAACAGGATCATATCTTACAAAACGCATCCATATATATATATATATATATATATATATATAGGTATAAACAAATACTCTAGTTCCCCAATTTCTCTGGTTAATCATTACCCTCCAAGTGCTATGTTAAGTAGCATAAAATTGGTGTCTAGAAATTGGAATTGGAGAAACAAATCTAATTCAAGACACTAATTTCATCCTACCAAACATATCATCCATGTTTTGAAACGTTAACCACAAACATAATAATATATATATATATAACCACAATGACAAAGAAAAAAAAAGAAAAGAGATACATACCAATGTTGGCATTGTCACTAGGGATGGGATGGTACGATCTCTCATCCATGATCGGTGGCAAACAGCTCAACATCCACTTCGGCAATAAGCTCAAATTTTCCTTTAACTATGTTAGCAAAATTTAATTAGTCAGATATTTTTTGGAAAATTTTTAGATACAAAACTTCATACAGCATATCATTTGAGAAATTAAAGTTTTGGCAAAAATCAAGATCACAGTATTTGGCTAGAGTCACTGTAGTTTAAACCCTTCAATTTTTTTTATAACATAAATGAATTATTTTTACGGAGAAACCTAATACCCCCATTTACATATTTGCTTTGAGTCTTTTCTTTCTTTAGTGATGTGGTCAAAAGAAACATTGACACGTGTCTTAAGTTTATAAAATATTAGTAAAAGGATAAAAGAGGAAACATACTAACTTTTTACGGGAATCGCTTTCTCTTCCGGATTTATCTCTTGCTCTATCTTATCCACACTAAACTTTCTCTTCCACCTTTCTCCCTCCTCTTTCTTATATGCAACAATCTTTCTTATCTTTCAATAATCCTATTAATTTTTCTGGTTTTGGCGTTTCATCATTATTCCCAGCTCCATCTCTTCTTTCTCCTTAGATGAAATTACAAAAGAGTCCATAAATTATATATAATATTTAATTATTATAATTTTTAATACCATAATTACCCTTCTCCATTAAGATTTGAATTCTTAACTAAATTATTTCAGATTCTCATTCACGTTACCCTCCTTCGTCTCTTCAAACACAAAAATGAAATATTTCACTAATGAAGGCAAGCAAATCTCAGTAATTTTCTACTTTTTACTTATTTTGTTCTACTTCCTTCCTGAGAGCATATATTTTGAAATATATATATATTGAGTTGGTTTTTAACATATTATGTATTATTGTTGAATTAGACCTATCTAGAGAACCCTTACAAATACTGGATCAATCTATCAATATTTACTTTAAAACTGAATTTTATCCTTAGATTTTATGAAGAAAAAAAATAATAGATACAGTCCCTGATGAGAGTGAAAAAAATTTGTAAATGTCTTTGTTATTTTTATATACTTCCTTGAAAAAGTTGTTTAACTAATAGTTCTCTTCTTACTGTCCTTTTTGTCATTGCTTGTAGGGATGGCAACGGGGCGGATTTGGAGCGGGTTTCCCTAAATCTCGCCCCGCCCCTTTTAATTTTTGTCAAGTCCATGCCCGCCCCGAGACCCGCGACGGGTTGGATTTTCATATCCAACCCCGCCCCGTTAGGAAATACTGTGCCCCCGTGCCCGCCCCACTAACAAATTTTTTTCTCCCACTTTTTGGAACTTAAACTCCTGCTATTTAAATGTGCAAAGCCTAGGAATGACACAACATAAATAAAATTATGTATCTTAATAAAAATAAAAAAAATAACATGCACATAACATAATTCAGAGAACATAATAAACAAAAATAAAAGTTTAATACAACCAAATCACAAGAAGTTCTAAGCTCCAACTTCCACCATAACCAAAACAAAAGCAAATTTAATACCAAGTTTACATCCCAAATTAGGATTGTAAGAGATGGGTAATTGGGTAAGCCGCTAAAATAACTTATTAATATATATATATATATATATATTAAATATAGTTATATGCGGGGCGGGGCGGGGCGGGCCGGGGCCCATAGGATATGTATATTGAACCTTTACCCGCCCCGTGACCCTCAACGGGTACAAAATTTGTATCCATGTCCGCCCCAACGGTATAACAAGTGTTCCTATATCCGTTCTTAACGGGGCGGGACGGGGCGGGGGCCCGGCGGGGCGGTAAAAATTGACATCCCTAATTGCTTGCCCTTTTTCTTTGGGTCTGGGCTCCCAGTGAAAACATTACCCTTAAATGAATAAAATTTATCACATTATAGAAAATTAATTATAATGAAAATCAAAATATATGTTCAAACATCAAAATAAAATCTAAAGTTAAAAAAAAACATGATAAATCCTAAGAATTTGGGGTTTTAGGCGAAAAATAAAAGTATTATTTTAATAATATATTAATATTAAATAATATTTATTTAAAAATCGTTCTTCTTACTTTGTGAAATGCAGAATTACTAATTAGATTCTTGTTTTTAGGTTTGGTTAAAATATACAAATATATGAAATATATATACATACACAAATTTATAATAACAAAAGTTAATAAAACTAAAAATAATTAAATAAAAATAACAATAGATAAAAGTAACAATAGATACTGATTTAGAAATCCACAATCCAATGCTCTTACAAAATTTTCAATTGAATAAAAATTGGTTCAAATTGAGAGTAATGAAATTTGAGTGCAGAAGAAAGAGAACTATAAACTTGTAATGAGAGATGAAGGAGAAGACTTGTTGAGAAATCGAAGAAAGAAAGTATGTGAGGAATAAGAAAAATAAATAAATAAAAGATAAAAGTTAGAAAAATAATATGAAAATTTTCACCATAATAAATAAAAGACTAAATTAGTGTTATAAATGCGAATGAGACAGAGAAAAAAGAAGTTATTTAAGAATATAAATATGTGGGACCAATATTAAAATTTTGAACAGGAGAGAGAGGAAGAGATAGATAGAAAGAAGAAAAAAAAACAAAGAAAAGAAAAAAAAAAAGATTATTTAAGATATAAATCTTTGGGGCCAATGTATCTGTATTGATTAGAGTTTAATAAAAAAAAACATGGATGAGGAGAGAGAATAAAAAGTTATTTTATGATATAAAATTTTGAGGTATAGTATAAATTTTCTATATTGATTAATAATTTTTTTAATAATATTAAGAAATAATTATAATATAACCTATATAAGGAAATTTAAAATTTTGAGACTGTTCCAAATTGGAGGCCTAGACGACCGTGTGGGTTGCCTATGCTTAGGGTTCCTCCAACACCGCTAGTTCTGTATCCCCTTCCCTAAATTGACTTTGTTTTGCATGGTAAGAATTAAATGATTAATATAATGTGTATATATATATATATGTACATATATTTCTTGAGTTGTTGCCGGAAATAGATGCTCAACCAAAAGCTAAGTCACAGTGGGAGCAAGAGCGAAAATGGGACTATGGAAATGTCAAAGTTCAAAATATTTGAGAGCGGGAAGATTTTGAGAGAGTCTCTTTTAATATATATATATACATATGTCATATGAGGGGAAATTGAATTGTTTGTCAACTGATCATGGAAGAGAAACCATCCCATCCCATCCCTAATGACAATGCCGCCACCTTTGGTATGTCTCTCTCTCTTCATCTATTTTATGTCTCTTTGACTCTGTTTGTATTACACATATATATGTATGTATAGCTTTGTTTGTGTGATTCTGTAGAACGTGAGAGAGAAACAGGCTATTTGAAAAACATGAATTTTATGTTTGGTAGCATGGAATTGGTGCCTTAAAGTTAGATTGAACTAATTTTTCTCTGATTGCAATTTCAAGTCACCATTTCCATGCCACTGAATATAGCAGGAGTTCCATTTGAGTGTAATGGTTAAGGAGGGAGGTTCAGCAAATTGAGTGTTTGCTTATATATATATTGATCTGCCCATATGTTTTCTTTGGTAATTACCTAGTATATATCCTGTATAATACATATACTTATGGTGCTCTACATAATTTCCAATTTCTGTATGTATGTATAATATTGGGTTCCCCCAACCCTTTCAAACTGCCAATTTGCAAGTATTATTACTGTTATGGCAAAGTATGACTACTATATTGAAATTTATTGACTTTTTCTTCTATATTATTATTATTATTATTTTCAGTCCTAAGATATTGTTGGGAGAAATGACAATAAACAATTCTTCTTCCTAATATATCTCAAGTTTTATATGGGTTGAAAATAATAAGGAAATAATCAATCCCACAAAGCCACAAGAATACAAAGCAATTTTTTACATGGAAGACTTTCTCGGTGTGAGAAAGAAAAATCACGGGACCTAGTCCAGTTTAAAACTCCACTATTAATCAAATAATGGATACACAAACTCTTCTCTAATCGCAATTAGAGGCTACAAAACATCTCATCAAGATAGCAACAATCTTGGCAAAAACCAAAAAGAATTGGAGAGAAAAATACCAAAACTCGGTTACTGTTCACGGGCACGAATTATTGTTCCCGAGCTCAAAATCCGATCTTCACCGTTCAGATTTTAACTCATTGAGTCGTGAACCTCTCTTCCAAATTTCAGGTTGATTGGACCGCGGACAAAGCGGGATCGGACGTTTGATGAAATCTGGGCAGAATAGAAAAAAAAAAAAAAAAAAAAAAAAAAAAAACCAAAATCCGGTTACTGTTTACGAGTACGAATCACTGTTCCCGAGATCAAAATCCGATCTCTACCGTTGAGATTTTAACTCATTGAGTCGTGAATCTCTCGTCCAAATTTCAGCTCGATCGGACCACGGACGAAGCGGGATCAGACGTTTGATGAAATCTGAGCAGAATGGAAAAAAGCTACGTCTTTCCTTCTCTGTCTTCTTGTGAAAGCTACTGCTGATCTCTCCCCCTTTTTATTCTGACTTCCTTAGGTTATTTACCTAAAGAGCTGAGGTTTGGACTTAAATAAAACTCACTTCGGCTTTCCTCTGTATAGAAAGAAATAAACCCAACAGAGATGTACCACCTGCTCACTACACATTTAAGATTGAGTCATTCTCGCAACTCTCGCAGACACTACTAGCCTCTGGAGTAGAGAATTATGAATCCAACACTTTTGAAGCTAGCGGTTACAAATGGTTTGAGTTTGCATTCTAGTATTTTCAAATTTTCCTCTGGCATTCTATTTAAACAAATATATATGTATGTATGTATGTATAAGATGATGCTTAGGTCATTTATTTTCAAGGAAATTGTCTCTCTACCCATCTGGTGATAAAGAAAGAAATGGGAAAGGACACATCTCTTTGTACTTTGGTAATTGCAGAGAAAAATGCTTTGCCTGTTGGTTGGGAGGTTAATGTGACCTTCAAATTGTTCGTGTTTGATCAGATTCGAGCCAAGTACATGACCATCCAAGGTACATATATAGTTCGTTTTTGTAAACACTAATTCTTTATTTTGCCCTTCTCTGTATGCAAACTTGATGTGATTCTATTCCAATGTTTAGATATCAATGGAATGGTAAGACGCCTTCATAGGATGAAGACGGAGTGGGGTTTCGCCCAATTACTACCTTTAAGCGTTTTCAATGGTGCTGCTATTGGATACCTGATCCATGACACGTGCATCTTCGGAGCAGTGGTTTTTGTTATATACTATACTGGCAGAGGAGAACGTTTATCCCTTCGGAATTAATGTGTGTGAGGGTACTCATTCTTGGATAGTTGATAACTTTTCTACTCTCAATGACGAAGTTTATTACTCTAAAGCATTCACTTTGGGGAGTTGCCAATGGTATGCAGTAACAGAATTTGTTGTTTTCTAAATTGCAGCAACTACTGTTTGAATTATTGTTCACTGATTTATGTGTTGGATCTCTCTAATGAATTCAGGAAGCTATTGCTCTACCCAAAGGGAGATAATAGGGTAAAAGGAAACATGCTGTCACACTTTATTACGTTACACGATTTGAAAACTGACCAAAAAACATATGCAGAATTCAGGTTGCGCATAAAGGTCCAACGCCATGGAAAACATTCCGTGATAATAGGTGAGCTTACATTCCGTCACTTGTGTGCGTGTGTGTTTCTTATCACAGCTAATAAATGTGTTTGATTCGAGCCTAAAAGTAATATTATATGAGAAATAATCTCACACTACACGGGATTTCCTTTGTTTTCTGTTATGACAAGCTTTTGCTTTTACACAAGTTTATTTAGTTAACATTATACAATACCTACTTTCACAGGAAAAAAGATGGTTTTCTGCTTGATTGAAGTCTTGGGGTCTATCTGGATTCTTATCACTACGTGATTTAACTGATGACTCGAAGGGCTTCCTTGTGAATGACACTTTGATTCTTGAAGCCGAGATTACACGCATGTCTGCAGTGAATAGTTTCTCCTAAATATATGAAGAGGCTGATTTTGATTGTTAAATTAATATATTATCTAATTTTGTGAAGGATTGAGGATGATTAATGGCAATGCAGGTCACATTAGCTGGTCAGATTTAGATTTTAATTTATTTATGACAGTTAAAGCTCTCTATGCTTCTGAGAAATGCTTTCAATTTCCAAGTGACAGCAAGTGACAGTTCGATCATTTAGTTTAAGGGCTACTGTTTCTATTTTGCTTGTGGTATCATTTTTGTAGTTAATACTAGTCACCTTTTGTGTTTGTCTATAACTATAATGGAGAGAAGGGAAGAATAATAGATGGAAGGTGCAGATGCACAAATCTCTCATAAAAAAATGTTTCCATATTGTGCGTTTACGTTGAGGGAGTTGGAAGGAAAGCAAATAAAAGGGATGGGAAGTTTATAATATTGTGTTTGGCACACCCATGAGGGGATGGGAAAATGAAAAAAAAAGGGAGAGAGGAAAGGGTTTGTTTATTCATTGAACCATCATTTTGCTTGTTTGCTAATTTCATTGAACCATGATTTTGTTATCTTCCTGTCTCTGGGGAAAAATGGAGGAAAATCATAAGGTAGAGTTATTAATTTTCGGTTTTACCTTCAAATATTAATCTCATTTTTGGTTTATTTATTTACTTATATATATATATAGTGTAAGCTGAAGCTAGCTTAGGTTTAGAGGAAATTGTCTCTCTACCCGAATGGTGATAAGGAAAGAAATGGGAAAGGACACATCTCTCTCTGTACTTGGTAATTGCAGAGACAAATGGTTTGGCTGTTGATTGGGAGGTTTAATGTGAACTTCAAACTGTTTGTGTTTGATCAGATTGGAGGCAAGTACATGACCATCCAAGGTACATGTATAGTTTGTTTTTGTAAATACTAATTCTTAATTTTGCCCTTCTTTGCATGCAAACTTGATGTTATTGTATTCCAATGTTTCAGATGCGAATGGAAAGAGGTAAGATGCTTTCATAGGCTCAAGCGTTTTCGCCCAATAACTACCTTTAAGCGTTTTCAGTGATGGTGCAGAGGTTTTTGTTATAAATTATAGTATTGGCGGAGAGGAACATGATCATGATGGGTATTGTGGAACTTGGTAGATACTATATACCAAGTCCCAAGTTCGCATTTTCACCCGAATTTTTTGGAGGGTATTTTGGTAATTTTTGCACTTGTTATGCTACCCTAGTGCGAGCCTATTTATTCATTTTGAATTCTCTGCATCCGCTATTATTTTTATCATTATAATGAAAATCCCTGGACGTAGTCTTGATTTTGGAGAAACGAAGTAAAATCTATGTGTGTGTGTGTTTGATTTATTTTTTGTATTTTCTGTTTAATTTCGCAACAAAACATGTATCCTTATTCTTGGACAGTTGATAAATTTTCTTTCTTCAATGACGAAGTTGTTTGCTCTAAAGCGGTCTTTTTTTTTTTTTTTTTGCATTATTCAAGTCAGGAGTGCGGTTAAATTATTTGTGCAGAATACATTTTGCGCACAAGGGACTAATGCCATGGAATCGTGATTTTGTTATCTCTCTGTCCGTGGGAAAATTTGAGGAAAAGAATAAGGTAAATAGAGTTATTAATTTTCAGTTTTGATTGATAGATTCTTAGGATTACTGTCTACGTCCAGGTAGATAGAGTTACTAATTTTCAGTTTTGATAAATAGATTTTTAGGATATCTGTCAACGTCAGTATGGCCGCTAAGTATGTAAATTGTGCAAAATACATTTTGCGCACAAGGGACAAATAGCATGGAATCATGATTTTGTTATCTTGCTGTACGTGGGAAAATTTGAGGAACATAATAAGGTAGATATGGTTAGTAATTTTCGGTTTTGATTGATAGATTCCTATTTACACAGCATATATGATTGTCACAATCATTACCTTTCCTTCTCATATCAAACAAGTCGAGGCCCTCTCGCTTGTATAATTTTGATCTCTCACACTCTCTCTCTCTCTCTCTACCATGTATAGGTTCCAGCTAGAGGGTTTAATCCCAATCTTTTACTAATTTAAATCTTTTCATCACATTAAATCAATCCATTTCTTTTTCAATATCCACTTTTGAAATAAATTAACGAGGATTCTTAATTTTCTAAATCAGTTAAAATAAAATCTCATATTTAGTTTATCATAATGATGCTAATTTTTATTTAATAATAAAAAATTTAGTTGCTCATTAATGTAAACCACTTAATAAAATTGAACATAAAAACTCACGTAAAAGAATTTATTATATATATAGAGAGACAAAAGCATTTACTTTTTATATATAGAATTTATTTTAATAACGACTTAAAATTTATAGATAAATAATTATTTGCGTTAAATGATCTTTAAAAATCATCAAAATTCACTAAAAAATCATATGAGTAGATTCACACCTGTAGTGAATTGCCTAACCGAATAATTTTTAATTGGTCTATTTATACTAAATACAACTAAGTAAAAAGTTTCATTGTTATATAATTGACTAATTAAAAAAGTAGGTCAAACAATTCGGTGCAACTATTCGATGCAACAATCATTTTTTATGGCTTATTAAAGACATTTTGGGATTTTTATTGAAAAAAAAAGTGATCAAAATTGATAATAAAGGAAAATTTTGATCAAAAAGGTTGATAATAAGGATTTAAATATACTTAATTTTTAATAAGGTGTTTCTTGCACATTTTTTTTTATATAAAGAGAGTTTTTTTTTCACTTAGCCCAATTTAATACTTCTTCTGTTCTTCTATTTCAAAATAAGTGCCTTCGTTTTTATTTCTATGGGGCTAATTCCATAAAACTTCCTCTATTTTCAAAATTTGATCTTAAACTTTCAATTTATTTCAGAAAATTCTCAATACTTTAAAAAGGTATCAAATTGCCTTCAAATTGCCTTCAAATTCTTGTCCACGGTTAATTGAGTTGTGAAATGTCAAATTTGACAATATGATTTAGGGAGTAAAATTTAATATTTTCGAATTCATAAATTTCTAATTCGACAATATTTTCCACGTAGTTCTCTGCAAATAAGAGAATTGGGGTTTTGTTTAATCGGAGTTTTGTGGGTTTTCATGGATTTTCCTTCTTAGTGAGACCAACCAAAATTACCAAATCTTTTTTTTTTTTTTGTTTCCTAAGCTTAGAACCCGACTTGCGTAGTTTTAATCGGAGTTCTTGGTTTTCATGGATGCGTGATGGTAGGGTTCCGCTGCGGACGGCTGAGATACTACGGTGGAAATTCATTGAATTAATCTCTCTCCCCCACGCACCCGCACTCTCCATACGTATTCTGCAACTTCTCAATCCCAGCAATAGAGGTGGTTATGGGAAAGGGAGTTGCCCAATCGGGAGAGGTAGCCTTTGACGAATCGGAGGAGTAGAGAAGAGGTAATGAGAGATTGTGAAGTTTCTGTATAAGTTGGATGTCTTTTCTTATATGTTTCCTTTTTAGTGTAGAATTTCTACAATTTATTACCTTTTCCTTCTTCTTAACTAGTTGTGTGATAATTCGCAAAAAAAGGATAATGCTATTCTCCTCTTTTATTTAGGATATATCGCGACTCTTGCCAAAAACCTAAACTTGAGTGTCCAACAACTGATCATGGAAGAGAGATCATACCATCCCATCGATAGTCACAATCTCACCTTTGGTATGTGTCTCTTTTCATCTATTTTATGTCTTTTTTGTTTTACCTGTGTACTATATATATATATATTAAGTGTGTGTTTATATATGGGTTTTTTGGATGTTGTGTTTGGTAGTATGAAATTGGTGCCATAAAATTATATTGGTAGCCGAAGTTCCGGTGGAGTGTCGTGGTTAGGGAGAGAAGTTCAGGAAATTGAGTGTTTGTTTATATATATAGACTTGTAAAATACGTATCTTTTGGTAATAACCTAGTATATGTACTTATATAACTCAAGTACTCAACTCAACTTGGAATAAGTATTATCCTGTTTTGTCATGGTGGTCTACATAATTCGAATTTCTGTACTGTCATGGCAAAATACGACTGCTATATTGAAATTTATTGACTGCCATTTTGCCGTATAATATTGGTATTTTCCTGGGTTTTTTTTGGGGGCTGGGGGTTTCCACTAGATGAGGTTCTATAAAAGAAACTGTTGGATATGAGGCCGAGCAAATTAATAGTTTCTTCTTCTTATATATTATTATTGTTTTTTTCTGTAGAAGTATCAAGATCAACAAGAGATATACCACCAGCTCATTACACATTTAAAATCGAGTCATTCTCACAACTCTTGCAGATACTAATAGAAACTGGAGTAGAGAACTATGAATCAAACACTTTTGAAGCTAGCGGCTACAAATGGTTGAGTTTGCATTCTAGTATTTTCAAATTTTCCTTTAGTATTCTATATGTATATGTGTGTGTGTGTGTGTGTGTGTGTATAAACTGATGCTTAGGTCTTTTGTTTTCAAGGAAATTGTCTCTCTACCCATCTGGTGATAAAGAAAGAAATGGGAAAGGACACATCTCTCTGTACTTGGTAATTGCAGAAACAAATGCTTTGCCTATTGGTTGGGAGGTTAATGTGAACTTCAAATTGTTTGTGTTAGATCAGATTCAAGACAAGTACATGACCATCCAAGGTATATAATTTGTTTTTGAAAATACAACTAATTTCTTAATTTTGCCGTTCTCTGTATGCAAACTTGATGTTCTTCTATTCCTAGATGTCAATGGAAAGGTAAGACGCTTTAATAGGATGAAGACGGAGTGGGGTTTTGCGCAATTACTACCTTTAAGTGTTTTCAACGATGCTGCTAATGGATACCTGATCCGTGACACATGCATTTTTGGAGCAGAGGTTTTTGTTATAAAATATACTGGCAGAGGGGAACATTTATCCCTAAGGAATGTGTGTGAGGGTACTTTTTCTTGGACAGTTGATAAATTTTCTTCTCTCAATGATGAAGTTCAGACCTCAAAAGCATTCACTTTGGGGAGTCACCAATGGTATGCAGTAATAGAATTACTTGTCTTCTAAATTGCATCAGGTGTTTGAAATATTTCTAACTAATTTATGTTTGGATCTCTGTAATGAATTCAGGAATTTATCCCTCTACCCAAAGGGAGATCATAGGGTAAAAGGAAGCATGTTGTCACTCTTTATTGCCTTACAGGATTTGAAAACTGTCCAAAAAATATTTGTAGAATTCAGGTTTCGCTTAAGGGACCAACTCCATGGAAATCATGTGGAGTCAAAAGGTGAGCTTACATTTCCATCAATTTTGTTCCTCGTGTGCCAGACTTTGTCACAGCTATTAAATAATATTGTCTCTCACTCAAGGTTAAAAGTAATTTCATATGGGAAACATTGGCAAACCACATTCACATGGGATTTCTTTTGTTTGTTTGTTATTTTGACGAGCTTTGCGTACAAGTTTATTTGGTTAACATTATACAATACTACTCTCACAGGAAAAAAATGGTTTACTGCTTCAGTGAGGACTTGGGGTTATCCTTCATTCTTATCACTACAAGATGTAACTGATGACTCGAAGGGCTTCCTTGTGAATGACACTTTGATTATTGAGGCCGACATTATACGCATGTTTGCTGTGGAAAATTTGTCCTAATTATATGGAAGGCTGATTTTGATAGTTAAAGTAATATAGTATCCAACTTTGTGGATGAGGATGATTAAATGCCAATGTCATTTTGGTCCCATTAGCTGTTCAGCTTGCTTTTTGTGAAACAATTTAGATTTTAATTTATATATGACAGTTTAAGCTCTCTTAAGTTTATGAGAACTGCTTCAATTCCTGAGGGACAAGTACAGTTCGATCCTTAATTTTAAGGGCTACTGTTCCTACATTGAATGCGATGGCATTTTGCTAGTTGAGAATGTTTGTAGTTATTGTACTAGTCATCTTCTGTGTTTGTCTAACTATTATGCAGAGGAGAAGAATACATAGAAGTTGCAGATGCACAACCCCTCATGAAAAACGTTGCTATGTAGTGCGTTTATGTTTAGGGAGTTGGAAGGAAAGCAAATAAGAAGGATTGAAAGTTTATATTGTGTTTGCTATAATAGTTTGGTACGAAGGGATGAAATGAAAAGGTTATTTTAATTCTCTTGTTTGGTTGCAAATATAAAATGATGTTGGGATGGAATGATAATCACAATTCTAAATGGTGGTGGTGAAAAAGTGACAATGGCGGTAGTGATGAAAGGTGGCGGTTGCGGCGGTGGCCAAAAATTTCATTCATTGGAATTAATTTTCATTCCAAGAGACATTCCTACTATAAATTTCCATTCCAAGAGATGTCATACCAAATAAGGAATTGGTTGAAATGAAATGCGTATTTCAATCCATTCCATTCATATGCACCAAACTAGGCCCTAGTCCCGAGAGGATTGGGAAATGAAAAAGAGGGAGGGAAAGGGTTCGTTTATTCTTTAAGCCATGGTTTGGCTTAGTTTGTTAATTCATTGAACCACAAGTTTTTTTATCCATCTCAAAAAAAAAGTAATTGGATTTTTTGTTTGATCTATCTATTCGCGCTTGAAATCATTGATGATTCAATTCAAGTTGAAACAGAAATTTATCTATCTGGTGGTGATTATTGTATTTAAGAGAAATGGAGGAAAAGAATAAGTTAGAGTCATTAATTTTTGGTTTTGATCGATAAATTCCTATTTCCACCCTGCATATATGACTCTCACACATTTTTTCTATGTTAAAATATTAATATTAGTGGTGGTCGTTATTTGAAGTTACATGTCATCGGCATAGATATTGATCTATTGAGCACATATTGATAATTTTATTTTTATTTTTTTGGGAGGTAAAGAAATTTATATAGTGCAGCAATATTGATAATATTGGGTACTCATAAAATGACAATTTTGCTCATGTAAAAAGATCACTGGGACATTCTTACGAGTATTTGCATATTCATGTGGAGTTTTGAGATTCCCTAACTTTGGAGCTTAGAAAAACACTTATTTTGGGATGATGTAGCAGTATTATATATGCGGACCGTCCATGGCTCGAAGCAAAGAACTTAAATATCCTGAATTTTGAATAATTTATTTGATTATCATTTGATTTTAATATCTAAGGTAAATTACAGTAAAATTTCATGTGGTTTGCTATATTGAAAGCTAGATGCAAGTTAGTAGGGGTGCAACTTGGGTTGGGCAATCTGAATCCAACCCGAGTCCAGTCCAATTTTTCACGGGTTTAGGCAATTATTTTTATAATTAAGGTTGGGCTTGGGTTGAAATGCTAGCAACCAAGGCCAACCTGAACCCAAATTCTAATATTATTTTCATGGATATTTTTACTTTTAAATACATTATATATAATATTTAAATTATGAATACTTTTTTTTTTTCTTTTCAACTTCTTTTGTTAAATCTTTAACTTATTGTATATTAATATTAAGGAGAATTAATTTTTTAAAAATTTGTTTGCAAATTATTAAAAATCTACAAAAAGTCTTTAAACTTTTTCTTATTTAAGAATAATTTATTTTTTTCCTAATTGATACTCACACACACTTGTCTCTTTTGAGGCATGAACTACTGACCTCCCTTTGGTAAATAAGAGACTGATACCGCTAGACCACTGACCTGTTGATTTATTTAAGAGTAATTTAATCTAAAACTAATTCAAGATCATATTAAATTTTCAGTGTAAGGATTAACCATATGAGTTATCTGAATTAATCCGAAATTTTTACCTAAAATCTAAGCCCGAGTTGCAAGCCCGAATTTAAAAGTAAATGGATGAGTTGGGCTTAGGTTGAATAATTAAGATTGAAGATAGAGTTAGGGTTGGATTTGAGTTTAGCATTTCTTATGATAAGTTGGCTTCAAGTTATATCTCAAACCCATCCAATTTACCCGAGTTGTAGTCCTACAAGTTAGCTCATTTTTTAACAATGACACTTTGTCAGCTTTAGATTCAAACAGTACCTTAAAAAAATATAAAAAATTGAAATTACCTTTTAATATTTTATTAATTTAAATTGTAAAATATCAAAACTCTTTAATGTCAATTTTGCCCTTCCCAGATCCTCATTCCTACCTACAACGTCCTTTCGACTCTCCCTCTCTAACCAACCTTCATCTCTCTCTATGCAATATAGGATACGATTTTTAAAAACACGACCAATCCTCCACTTAATTCTCCTAGTGTTTAAATAATTTGAAAATAAAAGAAAAAAGGAAGCAAAAATTGGGTATACATAAATAATAATAATAATAATAATAATAATAATAATAAAAATGCTGAAGAGCAAAATGACATAGAAAAAGATAGTCCAAGAATCTGTACAGCATACTAGTGCTAGTCGTTTCTCCATCTCATGGATTTTTCCTAAAACATTTCTCCCATAATTTACAGGAAAAATTTACTTTATCAAGAAAACTAATATGTTAGTTTTCTATTATGTTCCAATTTAGAGTTGTAAGTTTTTACTATAACTAATCATTATTCACAGAAAAATTTTTTTATTTGCATGTTGGTTTTCTATTCTATCCCAATTTAAAGTTGTGATTTACGCGATAATTAATCATATTAAAACTGTATCTCAAATAAATGATATCCATTGAAAAGAATAATATTTGCCTTAGGCTGCATAAGAAGGATCCTCCTTCTAATGATAAGGTGACCCGATAAAAAATCAATAAGTGTTAAAGAATTTTTTTTCTTTTTTTTTTTTTAAAAAAATGATGACTACAAAGAATATAAACTGGTCCTACCATCTTTCTCTCTCATGCAACAATATTACTACATTGTTCTGGAGAAAATATATTTATATATATACACACACACCACATATTATAAAAAGTTGGGCTAGCTGGGGAAATGACCTAGGCTTACATTAGCTCTATCACGAATGATGATGTTCCCTCTCAAAATACAAAATTACATGTTATATATAATGTATGAACGACGCATTATACTAAATTAAATAACTTTTTCGATAGAAAAATCTAACAGATCTATTTTTATTATTTTTATTTGGTGATAATCATCTTTAAATAATTAAATTTGGATGAGAAGCTTATAATTAGATACAACAGATAAAGAGAAGAACATGGAATGTTTTGTAATTTAGGAGAGATTGGGATGAGAAAAGAAAAAAAAAAAAAGGGAGATTATTTATCTCAACTCTCATATATGATTGAAACATGCCGATCTAATATATATATATATATATATATATATATATATATGAGGTAAGTACAAAAAACACTCCCCAAGTATATTTTTCATAGCATTTTTACCCCCTATTTAAAAAGGTGTGCAAAAAACACCCCTATTCTTTTCAATTTATGCGAAAATACTCCTCAATTAATATAATATCCATTTTACCATTTTTACTTTTCCAAAAAACACCCCTATTCTGGTGAATAGTGCTTTTTGCACTTGCAGTGTGATGTCCAGCGACTCCGGCCACAAAATCTCATTCCGTGAATAAATCAAAGGTGAAAAACATATTAGTTTCCATGAATATACAAATTAATTGTGCTAATAAGAGCAAATTTGCTCCTGCTGCCAATTATTGGCTGTGGCAGGCCATAAAAAATTGGTCTGGTTTAAATCTCCAATTGAACGTTGGCCAAACAGATAAGTTTTGTTGTCCGGGTCTTGTACACTTAATGTGCTTGATGATTTAAGGATTCCAGCAAGCCCACCAGCCATTATAGAATCACCCAGGCCGACAATGACAGAATTCAACCATCCAGGCTCACCATCAGCAACCATTGCAGTTCGGCTTCCTGAAGTGGTTCTCAGGGTTGAATACTTTCCAGTTGTCGATGTTTTCTTCATTTAATAACCATTCTGTTGTGCATCGTGAATAGATAGCTAAAGTTTTTGGGCTCACACCGGACTGAAGTACACTAGACCGAATTGAAGAGAAGAACGCCGGACCGAAACACACTGGTCTGAAACTAAGGGAAGCTCGTCGAATTGAGACACATCGATCTAAACAGAAGCTCGCCGAAACTGAAACGGGGCTTGAAACTCTATTCTTGGTTTTGGGTCACTGGCACTCTGAGACGTGACCAATTTGTTCGCCGTAGGAGCTCGTCGCCGGATCTCCAGTTTTCCCTTCCCTCTTTGCAATGGCAACTACCAAGATGAAGAAGAAAAAGAAGAAGAAGAAGGGCAAACCCTTTTTAGTCATTTCACAAAATATTATTTTTTTTATATATATTATAAAATGTGTTGATAAGGGTATTTTAGTCCATTTTTTTATAAATAGGACATATTTGCACAAATGTCATAGATTAAAAGTATTTTTTGCACGGGAGGGTGCAATATAAACTGTAAGCATACTATAGGGTGTTTTTTGCACTTGTCCCATGTATATATGTAAATATATATATATCCAAAATAATGTTTGATTTTAGATTCAAAAAGGTAAGGGTCAGTTTTTAGCTTTCTATTACCTGTAGTTGTTATTATTTTTTTCTTTTAAAACATTAACACTTGTTGATATTTTATTGGGGCACCTCATCTCCCGATCTGTGTGTGGCAAAGGAGAGCAGTCGACCCGGGAATATTGAGACCTTTCAAAGCTGTCAAGCAAAGAGCCTTTGGAGTTGATGAAGGAAAGAATCGAAGTGAAATAAGATGAGAGTTATACATTTCTGAAGGACAATAATCTAAGTTAAACACTTAACTATTTCTAAACTCTAAATTAAAATATTGAATAAGGACAATAATCTACAGATGACAGTCATGAGTTCATGATGATTGAACTTGAAACCACGACCAAAAAATAAAAATAAAAGCTAATAAATTAATTAAATAATTA